TGTGCAGTTTAACATTTAGAATGAATAAGATGAGTCTTCTTGAAATATGCAATGATTCATATTCTATCTTGCTTTGTTCCTCTTTTATGTCATTAATCTGAGAGTGTGGCGTTCTGCTTGCCGACGGGTTTATCTGTGGTCCTTTGCTGTGTTTGGGATTGAATACTAGCATACTACTTTACTGCACACTGGTTACAGTTTTATAATGTATGTATTATTCCATGGTAAATGTTTTAAATGGTTGTCTAATGACCACATATTGAGCATATTGCGGTGGTTCTCAACCACTAGGGGGCCTAGAGATAAATTAAATCATTTATGATATGACAGAATGAAAAACTAAGCTAAAACAAGCATTAAAATGAGCTAAAACAGCTAAAAATCGAGTTATTTCTCATTTTAGGTAAGCAAAATGTTTTTGTCTTTAAAGAATCAAGTTTTTATAGTTAGTAAAAACTGAAATAAAATAAATTATGTACATAAATCTACTTCAGCTATTTGCCAAAACAACATTTCCCATTTTTATTTAGTTTCATTTGATTAAAAACTGGGGAAAAAACTATATAGACATAAACAAAAACACATTAAATTACAAAAAAATTGGACTAAAATTCTAAATATTGCAAAATAATAGTATCTCAATGATACTAAAATAACAGAACCTGGGAAAACCGGGATGTATGTTAAATCTGTTCCTTGAAAGATTATCTAAATTAATAAAATCTTAAAACTCCTTTGGCATTTTTACATTGAATATACATTTTACTTGCTAAGCTCTAAAATATTTTACCGGGTAGAATAATGTGGGTAATAATGATGAAAACAAAACGTTATCCTTAAATTAGGAATGACTGGACATTCATGGGATAAAAGAGGAGGAACATTACGCTCCTAAAACTTCTGGAATCCTGAAATTTAAATAAATATTTTAGATGCTTTTTTTTTTACAATTTACAAAAACTATAGGAGTTCCCATAGATTAACATAAGGAATAGGGTCCTTGGAGGTTGAGGAGCATTGCATTGTGGGATACAGTATCCCATACAGTGTGCTCCGGTCGCACCGTTTGACACATGCAGTTGGTCATCCAGATATGCAGTGCACATAGTGTGGACGCATACGTGCTTATAACACTGTAGAAATAGTAGTATGTTAAATTCTGTTCTGAACACAGGCCTGGTGTGTGTGGTGAAGCCGGCTCAAACCGGTCTCAAGGCTGAAGTGGTGTGAGAAACACAGCCGGTGTGGTCATCCCGGTCTGATCTCGTGAGGTTTGTGATGTTCAGAGTCTGAGATGATTTCTTCGGGATGTCTCTCTCGTCCCTCTGCGTCTGAGAGTTATTTCAGTTACTCCGTTCACACTGACAGTGTTTACCGCATCAAAACAAGCTTTATGTTTATGGCCATTCAGAATATCTGTGCATTGTTTGGCAAGAACCATTTCAATTGCACCGTTCAAAAGTAAAGGTTTGGTAAAAAAAAAAAAAAATTTTTTTGGAAAGAGTCTCTAATGTTCACCAAGGCTGCATTTATTTGATCAAAATTTGATTAAATAATTTTGCAATTTAAAATATCTGTTTTCTATGTGAATATATAAGTGTAATTTTTTTCAGCATCATTACTCCAGTCTTCAGTGTCACATGATCCTTCAGAAATCACTCTAATATGATGATCTGATGCTCAATAATGATTATTATCAGTTAAAAACCGATACATTTTATTTTTCAGGATTCTTAGATGAATAGAAAGTTCAAAAGAACAGCATTTATTTGAAACATAATCTTTGTAACATTGTCACTTTTGATCAATTTAATGCAACTTTACTGAATAAAAGCATTAATTTCTTCTAAACATGAGCATTTGATGATATAGTAGCGGTGTCAGTGTGAACGCGCACAGATCTGATCCAGAAACGCAAACGCAGCAACTCTCGGACTGTGTGTGTTCGCATCTTCGTCTTGTAATGCTTTAAACAACTATATAGAGTACAATATATAGAAGTCGACATATATACACGTACATTTAAGAGTGTGATATATCTTTGAAGTGTTTAAATTATTTTTCTACTTACACACATGATGTACTTGTACATCTACATGTATCTGCACACACACACACACACACATAGACGTGTACATATTTGATACATGGTTTTTGTGTGAAATCTGGCGGTTTGTCAGTAACGTCAGGGACTGTTACCGTGATCTGAGCGTCTTCTAGTCGTGCCGTTCAAGCAATGATCGCGTTGCTCTCGATGATGTCGCTGGGATTGGGTTTGTCTGTGTGACTTTAACTTGCCCACCCGAATGGGTCGTGTACCTTTATATATCTGCAGGGAATATTAAACATTATCATTAATACAAGCACTGCTCATGTGTCTGACATCACTGAAGAGCTCCTGTACAAACATATATTTGTGTTGAATCTAACTTTGAGATCGGAGAATGAAACGTCCCTTTAAGAACTAACAGAGGGTTATTTTAATTTACAATTATTGATATTTTAATTTTATATTTTCCCTTTTCATTTTAGTTAAACTTTTAGTAATTTTGTGAGATTTTTGCCATTTTGTACTCATTTTATTTAAATATGTCTATATATGTTTTATTAACTTTTATTTCAGTTTTAGTACTCTTAAATTGAACTGAAATTAGAAATGTTGCTTGCCAACTAACTGAAACTGAAAGCTTTTTTATTTTATTTAAATTAACAAAAATTTATATTTTTAAAACATACTTTTAGTTTTAGTTGTTGATACTCAAAAATCTGTCGAGTTACTAATAAAACAAAATTAGTAATGAAGTGCATCAAAAAATAAATCTTGACTATAATAAATGGGTTGTTGACCGATAAGATGGACATAAATCTTTTGATTTTTAACCATTTGAAATTACTTTAGTGTTACTATTAATTACTAGTGTTGTCAAATTGATTGTTTATATATATATATATACACACACACAACACGAATATATATTTACAAACTTTTATGTCAGATGCAATTAATCGATTTGACAGCACTAAATTTAACAATTTATGATGAATGAATGAGGCATTTATACACTTTTTGACGCGTCAACAACCCAAACACTGAAGAAACTTTAGTTGTTGAATTGAATGATGTTTGAGATGTAACCGGGTTTGTACAGGTACAGTAGTAGCTTTAATCTGGTGTTGGTCATCGTTTTTATATAGTCTGTGTCGTTTCTGCTAGAGATGTTACAAGGAGAAGAGGATAAAATGGATCCGAGATGAAAATATTCTGCGCAAGATTTCACGGAAATTAGTTTACGAGTGACTTTGGCGCATTATGCAATTCTGGTGGATGATTTATTTTTACCCAGCATGCCGCTCTTTTCAAAGGTGACTAATTAATTAGACCCCCTCATTAGTCCTGATTAGATCATTCATCACCTGTCCATATGGTTCATCCCAAAATAACTTGCTTCATTGTTGGACGATATTTCGTCGCTTTGAGTCGCGACGCGTCGTTCTCTCGCTGCATGTTGTTGGTCGTCGTGCGACTTTAATACATTGGAGATGTGTGTGTGGTTATTATTATCAGGTGATTTTCAGACCATATGGCGCCTAAAAAGACCTGCTGATTCCAGCCAAATCCGTCCGGCTCATCCCAGATTCATTAGCGCTTGTAATGAAACGCGTTCGTGACGGAACTAAAATAGGAAACTTTCCCAGAAGGAAACGAGCTTTCTGAGGAGAATACGGATGAATAATTTTGTAGCTGGCACACATTTAAGTGTGTCACAACCTCAAACCTGCTCTTCTCACGGATCTTTCTGAATTTAGTGGTTGATGATGATATTGTGGACGATTTTGAATGGTTTTGTTCTTCATTCGGCCTCTCACATACGATGGACTAAAAAAATTGATGTCAAATAAAAAGCGCATGGACTTGTTCTTCATGTCATAGACTCTTACAGGCAATAGAATTAACATGTACATCAAGATAATCTATTTCAAATATCAGACAAACTGTTGTTTGATGAAACAATACAAAGGGCTTTTATGATACGTGTCTTAATGAATCTGTTATGATCTTGTTGCATGTCTGTGTTTCCTGTGAAATAAACTCTCTCCTTGACTAAAGGGAGATTGATTTGACTTCTATCTTTCTTTCTTTTCTTCTCTTTTGTCTCAGATGTGTTGGTATTGTCAGCGTTATTAATGTCCAGTGATGGTGAGAAGCTCCTGATGGAGCAGATGTATAATTCACTGGACTCTTCCTTAATGAAGCGCCTCTTTATTTCTCCTGTTTTGTCAGCGGTTTTTTGCTGTAAAATAGAGCCGAGGCGACGGGTGAATATTGACCTGCAGGAGTGATGATAACACACACACACATTATCATTATGAAGAAAACTAATCATTTGTGTTTGACTCGTTTCAAAAAGCACCTCAAAGAATCGAGATAAAGGCAGGAGGATATGAACTGGGGTCAGTAAGAATTATTTTCCTTTTAAAAAAAATCAATACTTTTTCAGCAAAGGACACATTCAATTGATCAAAAGTGACACATCATTTATAATGTAAAAAAAAAAAAAACTATTTCAAATAAACGCTGTTCTTTTGAATGCTTACACAGTTTCCACAAAAATATGAACATTGATAATAATCATAAAATCTTGAGCATCAACCACCATATTAGAGTGATTTATTATTGCATATTTGTAATGATGCTGAAAATCCAGCTTTGATCACAGGAATAAATGACACTTTACTATATATTCACATAGAAAACAGTTCTTTTAAATCATAATAATATTTCACTGTTTTTACTGTATTTTTGATCAAATAAATGTTGTAGAAAAGACCTTAAAAAATATGACAAAATCTTACTGACCCCAAACTTTTGAATGTATACACTGAAAAAAAAAAAAAAAGAAAAGTTAAATTTACAAGAAAACCCTGGCAGCTGTAGTTACCAGAGTGTTCCTGTTAAAAATACGGTAGCAACGTTTTACAGACTTTTAACCGTATATAATTTTACAGCAATAAACCGTAGTTCATTATCTGATATAATGTTAATTTACTGACCTTTTGAAGTATTAATATCTGTTTTGTTCCATTGTAATACACTGACAGCCAACAATCACAGCAGTGATGAGAGTCAAATGATCTATCAAAGCTCATCATAAGCAGCACTTCCACAAGAAAGTTAATACTAATATACAGAAGCTGCACAGTGTGATTCACACAAACATTAAACACCATCATGGTAACATGTTGAAATTAAAAAAATGCAATAAGCATTAATTTAACAACATTAAATGTAACATAAAACCCTAATGTACATAACTGATTAGAAAAAAACTAAGAAAATTATGAAGAAACAGTTATTTAAAAACAAAATACATCAAATGTGCAACAAAATACAACAAAAATGTGATTTGTAATTTTTTACAGTGTGTATATAAAAGTTGAATTTTTCTTTTGAAAATAAATAAATATATACATGAAACAGTGAGATTTTTTTGTTTCACTTTATTTTAAGGTGTCTTTGTTACACTAATTATGCATTTAGGTACTGAATAATATTACATGTACTTACTATAGGGTTAGTTTTGGTTTATGGTATGCATAATCTATAGTTAATACTATAGTAACTACATGTAACATGTAAAAATGACACTGTAAAATAAAGTGTTACTGATTTTTTTCATTGTTTATTTTTTTTGCATTTTGAAATTCACAGCTTATTCTTGCTCTAACTTTCATTTTTCATTCTCAGTACAGGTAATATTTCCTGTCAAATCAGAATTGATTTAGTCAAATGTCATGAATGGCACTGAGCTATAGTGCACATGTTAAATGTCAGCTTTATGTAATCATAAATGTAATTCTGAATTTATTATTTGAGGTCAGACTGGATTGAGTGTTTGAGAGAAAGACGTTTTCACACAGTTTTGTGTAAACGGGTTTTATAGTCAACAGCAAATGCTCTCCGTCCAAATAAACCAACAAAAGCAAATTACTGCACAAGAAAGCAAATATTTTAAATATATATTTGGCCAAAAAAAAAAAAAATTCAGCTGTTTTCCTGCACACACACACAAAAACGCTGTTTGGCACAATGCAACGCCTCTTTAAAAAGCCAAGATTATTCTGAAAATCTGGTCGTATTTTTTCACAAATAAATAAAACCACCATAATTGGCCTAAATTCCAACTACCACCCCAGATAACTGATAAAGAAACATCTAAACCAAAAACCAAACACACTCCACTCTGCACACAATGATGTTTTTCCTAAATATTTCTGTCTTGTTTTCCAGTACAAATATCTAAACATTCTTAAATCACTTTACCTTTTAATTAAGTTTTTTAAGCACAAACTCACGTCATTTTGAAACATTTTTCATTAAACAAGACTTAATATCTTCAGAAATTTTGCTTCTCCAGTAAATGTCTCTTGGTTTAAGAATGTTTAGATATTTGTGCTGGAAAATCAGACAGAAACACTGAGGAAGAACATCATTTGCTGTGACATCACTGGCTGGCAAGCGTCTGATTGGCTGTTTCAGGTTTACACTGTTAACCTGGTTTTGTTCACAGCAATGGCAAATCTAGAACATGGCCGGCTGCTTAAAAGCAATTTACAATCCACTTTAAAGATAAAACAACTTGTTCATTACAAGATCTATGGATCATTTGTGTGCAAATATAAAAATATTACAATTACAATATTAATCAAGTTCATTTGGTCAAGAACTAGTTCACCTGCATTGAAGAAAAGCCAGAAACCAAATTGCACAAAATAGATTCTAGTGTTCAGTGACCAAAAGAGCCACTTCATAATGTGTTTGTGTGTGTGTGAGAGAGTGTGTGTGAGTGTGTGTATGTGAGTGAGTGTGTGTGTGTGTTTGAGTGAGTTTGTGTGAGTGTGTGTGAGAGAGTATGTGAGTGTGTGTGAGTGTGTGTATGTGAGTGAGTGTGTGTGTTTGAGTGAGTTTGTGTGTGTAAGTCTGTGTGTGTGTGTCAAACACTTGAAAGTACAAATACATAAAAATATTTTCACAGACATTCATCAATAACTCGAGTTGAAAGGCATTGCATAATTTGATGGTAGAGTTGGAGTGAGTTCTGGTCTATGAGGTCAGGATGAAGGATCTGCTCTCGTCTCGTTCTCGGCTCTGGAACGTCGAATGCACTCGCTCTAAATCCAGAACAACATCCAGCAGACGAGCAGCGACGACACGAGAGCGCTCAGATCGGCCCTGCACACACACTGACACACACACACACACACACAAGAAATGCTTTAACATTTACATGTGCTTGTTGTGCAGATCTGCTTCACAAGTATGTGTGTGTGAGTGTGTGTGTGTGTGTGTGTGTGTACAGGTTTATATTGCATTGTGGGGACCAAATGATCTTCACAAGGATGTGTGTGTGTGTGTGTGTGATAGATAGGTTTAGGGGTCTGGTTAATGTGTGTGTGTGTGTCTGTGTGTGTGATGGGTAGGTTTAGGGGTAGAGTTAGTGT